TCGGAGTTCTAGTGAGAAGTCGTGACCTGTGGAGTTCAACCCTGTCAAATTTAGACAGTCACCTACTGGAGACAAGTGGCTGATGCCGCACAAAATCCCTTGATCAATCAGAGTTAGACGTTAAAACCTCTGAATACCGTCACAGTGGTTCAGAGGTCAGGTGTTTGCGTGCAAGACTGGAGGTCCTTGGTTCGAATCCTATGAATAGCATGAGTGGTGGATGCGCACTGTTAATGTGTCCCATACCTGGACGAAACAGCCATCCAGTACTTACATGTTTCTAATGGTGATCTAACAATGACTGGTTGATTATTTCATTGTGTAAAATCACTGTTCACCATAACTCTAATTGAAAAAAATCCTTGTGGTGGTGTTTCGTTCTCTGAGCTGGTTGTTTCGGTTGTGGAGCTTTCATTGTTCTTCTGAACAACATCATCAGCACGAACTTCAGATAGAAGTGAAGCATTAGAATTTCTCCACGTTTGACCTGTAGCTTGTTCTGCTAACAACAACCAATCAAGATCGAGGTTAGCAGAACAAGCTACAGGTCAAACGTGGAGAAATTCTAATGCTTCACTTCTATCTGAAGTTCGTGCTGATGATGTTGTTCAGTAGAAGAACAATGAAAGCTCCACAACCAAAACAACCAGCTCAGAGAACGAAACACCACCACAATCATCCACCTGAGCTACAAGTTTTCTCCACCATCTCGAAAAAAATCCTACACAGTTTTGCTGATCTAGCAACGCTAAACCTATTTCTCTGTCTAAATAATTACATGAACTGTACTTAGTACTATTTTAAAAAATTTCGAATCATGAGAAGGCTCCTCATTTCACTGTCAATGGTTTCTTTGACCTTGTTCTAATGAACTAGAAGATTTGGTTGAATACTTTTCAATGGTGATGTAGTAATTTGATGTTTGATTGTTAAGTTTTTCAAATTCAATGTACGTGAATATTGTATTAGATTTGTGAGAATGGCTACATTTTTTTTTGACTTAAAGTTATATTGTATTCGTTTGTATGTGTTAGTATGAGTTTTACTAACAAAGAACTACGTCAGTATTTCTTCCTTCTATCGATAAACTTTCACTAAATAATACTTACATGTTATTTTCCAAAGCAGTTTGTATTTTAGTGAGAATATCATCAGACACAGAAGTTCTTCAGATGATTTTCATTTACAATTCATTTACCTATTGTAGTGAAGGAGAACACAGGTGAGCTCAACCGAATTGTATTTAACGAAAATCACAGAGTTACTCAGTAAAATAGGTAAACCATATCGTAAACGGTTAATTTGCAAATCTTCAATCCATCATCAATCCATTGTCTGACATTTCACTCACTATTCATGCGTTTCATACAAATTCCATTGTGTTCCCACTCTTCTTTTCTTGATCTTCCCCCATCTTCTGCTGCCAGACATTACGTTTACACTCGCATCATATACTACTTATAAGTAGCGCGCACCACACTATGACTGAATTATGTTTTTACGGTAAATTACTTTCAGTAAGTGATATCGTCGATTAGATTACTGAACTAGAATATCTATCCATTTCATTTCATTTTATGCATTCGTTAGACAGTAGTTAACTAGTGAGTGATCCAGAAATACACCATTGTTCTAGATTATCAAATAGGTGAGAATTTCAAATTATTTACGTGTCATATTATTTCACATAATTCATATCATATACTAGTGAATATTAATCTATCGAAATTATTCGTAAAAACACTATGCATATATATATGTATATATCCATCTATATATAGTATATTTACGTGTTTTTCAAATAATAATAAGCAAAAAAGCACATGTACCCTGGATTCTGATTTGAAAAAAAATTGAATCAACACGAATAATCATAATCTTTATCGTTTACAGTGCTTTCCCTAGGCCTAGAGCGTAAATTAATATATACATACATCAGAAAATAAAAGTATCCCATGTAATCTGTAGAACAAATATAAACAATGAAATGCATGACATTTTGAAATTGCTAAAAATAAATTTTCTCTTATGTTTAATGTAAGCTGAAAAAAAAAGAAATCACTTTTTTCATTTATCTTAAATTATACCCTAAATACAATGTTACTATCATAAATGAATAGATATTCTTTGTCAACAATAAGAAATAAGGTTTACATTTCACGTGATCAAAAAAAATAAGATAGAAATTATTTATGTACTACTACTAAAGTGTGATGTTTGGATTTGAAAATAAAATAGTTTTTTTTAAGCTTATAAAAATTGTTTTAACTTTGGAACTAATTCATTAATATGATGTTAACTTTTACTCTTATAATCTTGAAGGAAGTATCAATTTCATTAAGACTATAAGAATGTTTTGCTGATGAGCGACAGCTCGCACGAAACTTAAGTCAAACAGTGTTCTTTGAAGACTACACCTAACTACTTAATATCCATAAATAATATACGCAATGCCAATTCACTTAGACTGGTGACTACATGGTCACTGACAGGCACGAAAGGATTAAACAAACACCATTCAATAGTCAATTCTATTGAACGCCTACAGTTATCCTTTCCGTTATAGACATTATCAGTTTAGTGTGGTAAATAATTCAGGATGAAAATATGTATACAACAAGAGCTAGGGCCTAAAAGGTAATCATTATTGACAATTACAAACTGATACATAGTAATCACCTTGTAATCAAAGAGATGAATGCATATTTTGATGAAGAAATGTTATCAGGTAAAAACATTTTCACTGCTAATCATAATCAACTCAAAAAGAACATTGGAAATTGGTAAGCATTAAACTAGTGTTTCATTCTAATTCCCTATTATGAGTACTGTCCGACCGGAAATCAAAACCACAGTATTGATTAGGTAAAAAAACAACTGAAATCAGTTCATTTTTAAAAGAATTTCTAACCACTAGATAATATTGGACTGCACACAAACTAACTGGTATTGTTTACATTCAGAAATTTTACTGTATTCACAATGTTCCATGTAATTACGATTTGCATTGATAACTATCCTGAATCCACAGTTTATTGGATAAGCACTGAGTTTAATTCTGTGTGTGAAAAATTAGCCCAAAGAAAGTAGGTCAGTTTAGTCGTTCAACTCCAAAAAAAAAGAACGTAACGCGGTTTCCTGGATTTCATTCTTGGCCATTTTCCAACTATATAATAATAACACTACTATCCTAATACCAAAAAAAAAAATTGTCAATAATCCTAGTTTACAATTTCATTGAAATTTGTAATAATATATTTATTTATTTAAAAACCTCTAATAGTTATGTAGTAGGTTGTTGAATTAGAAGTTGGGCGTTGTTTTTTTTTTCTATCCATAGCTAACTAATATGTTAGTTAGAGGATAAAGTAATAAATCATTTTAAAAATCTGTCATTTTCATTTTGTTTAAACTATCCACTGTTTACGACGTGTAAATAAACAAAAATTGTTAAAAACAAACATAATCAATTATAAAATGAGTTTAAATATTCATGATTAATATCTTGCATGAATGAATTATCATTGTAGGTAAATTTAAATATTTGCCTATCATAAAGCGACTGTGAATATTATTTAAGGCAAAAAATATTTGATCATTGAACCTTGATCTTGAAAGATTGTTTAATCAAGCTTCACGATAACCAACCATTTTCGACATTCAGTAAAAGTAAATCATCTGGCATTTTCAAGCATCTTCACATTGATTTAGTGAACAGTTACAGATAGATATTTTCTCTGGGAATCACTGATGTTTCCACAACACAGGAATTATTTATTTAAGTAAAACATTTGTAGGAATATTGTTAATTTTGCAGTCTAGTAGGTTTCTTGAAACTTATCCGCTTCATGAACTCGTGACATGAAGGTCAGCTGTTCGAACTCAGTCTTATGGTGCACACTAGTAAAGAGTTGCATATAAATACATAACATCTAAACAATATTCTCTGATTTTTAATGTTCACCTAACTACAGTCTGTTCGTATTTTAAACCACAAGTTATGCAATCACATTGTACCAATGACTGTTGTACTGAAAGCAAATACATGTTTGCATTGCGTGGTTATGAAGATTGTTAAGTTTTTTTGAAACCATGAATCGATCAATGTTAGACCACCATTAGAAACCTGGAAGGACTGGACGGCCGTTTCGTCCTGGTATGGGACTCCTCAGCAGTGCGCATCCACGACTCCTGCACCTCGGCCGTCCAGTGCTTCCAGGTTTTAAATGGTGGTTTCAAAAATGTGTAAAATACATATTTATCATATCATATCTCCTTATGTTGATTGTTTAAGTTAATTACACATCACAATTAACTAGCTGATATAAACTATCATATATTGAACATTGTACAACTAAAGACAAGTAAAACAACTATAAATATTAATTTAATTTATTTATTTTTAAATAGAATGTCATGATGTATGAAAAATAGTTTTACATTTATTTCTAGTTTTAAAGGTGTATTTTTTTTCTTCTTATTTTTAAAAGATCTTTACAATTTTCACTATTTATTTTTGAAAATAACTAAAATAATCACGTGACAATGCTATTGAACCATTGAACAACAACAATATTAACTGTTCATTTATGTTTTTATGTAGAAAGCATAAAAAAAATATTAAATATTGTTCGAGTTTCAAATAATGCTTATTGTAAATGAAATTAACCTGTAAAGAAAGCATTTGTTTACAAATGAGTTGTCGTTTTCCTGTGCAATAAATATCTAACAGATCTAAAAATAATTTTTTGAAAATATTATGCTAATATGAAAAATAAATTAATCAAGTAAAATAATTAATTAATTTTATAAAAATGAATCTTGAAATAAATAGAAAGAAACATTGAACAAAAGAAACAGTTATTCGTTTGAAAGCGCAGATATTTTTTTTAAAAAAAAGGTAAATGAAAAATAAACTTTGACAGTAAGAACATCATAACGAAGCGATGTAATAATAAACAGTTTTACAAAAAAAAACAAAATAACTAAGAATTTTTTGTTCAATCGAAATTACGATAACGTCTACTCACAGCATTGTAAAAACAAAAATGATATTCAGGGAAACAACGACAACGATGATATCCTTTCACTTCATTACTTCCTGATGGGATAAAACTCATGTAGTACCATTCATTGCAACCTAATTTTTGACATAATTTAAAGCATAAATTAGCTGTTGGTACAACGCATAGAAAATTCCCCGTAGCTGTTTATTTATTTGGAAGATAAAAAGAAAAAAATCGACAAATTTTAAAAATTTTTATACTTCACTAGTTAATGTTGTTACAGTAAAGAAAAACATTTTTTTTGAAAAAAATTACACTATTTAATAATGCGGACAAGTAATTTAATAATATGAATTACGATCGATTTAAACAATGGATTTAAACAATTCTATGTTCAAAGTTCAACGATTGTTAAGATTTCTCTTCTTTTGTTTTTAGTAAATTATTTATATAAATTATTCTTACTGTTATTTGTTCGTTTAAAAAGACGTGACCAATGGAGTTCAACTCTGTCGGGTGTAGGCAGTAACTGCAAAGACAAATGGGTGAGGTTGCGCAAAATCCCTAGATCAATCAGAGTTAGACATTAACAGCGTTGGATGCCGGCCCGGTGGTCCAATGGTGAGGCGTTCGCGCATAATACCGAAGGTCGCGGGTTCGAATCCTGTGAGGTGCATGAGTCGTGGATGCTTACTGCTGATGAGTAGTCCCATACCAGGACGAAACTGCCATCCAGTGCTTCCAGGTTTCTAATGGTGGTCTAACAATGATTGATTAATGATTTCAAATGTGTAAAAACACAAATCGTCAAAGCTGTAACTGAAAAAATTAGCTTGTTTATTGCGAATTCACTGGTAGTTTATGTTTTAATTAACTTTTCATTTCAATGTATTCAAATCCATCATTTTAAAACTAACATGTCAGTAAAATATGGTTCTAACGTCAATAACTATAGCATGAAATTATAATTCTCTCATATGAAAAAGAACAATTGTACAGTTCGTCTAGTTCGAAATAGACAAACTTATGCACACTAGTTGTTTTAAATTAAAAAAGTCAAGATCAATGGTATTTATATATTTAGGCCTTTGTTAAAGGTGTGGAAAACGTGACATTTGTAGTGTGAAAAAAATCATATATAGTAGATTGGATTGATGATCCAAGTCAGATGCATAGTAAGGCTTTCTTTTCTATTGAGGTCAGTTGGATTTAGCATTATATACAAACTTTCATCTATGCTCATTTCTCTTGTAGTTAAAAAAGACTCTTGATATTATTTTGACATTCTTAATATCGAATTCATGGTTATTGAAGATGATTGCTTAATTTATTTGGAGTCCTTCAAGCTCTGCCAGGATTCTTAGGTTGTTTCTTTGTATACCACATGTGTTCTTTGGCTTGAGTCAGGATTTCACGAGATATAGAGGGCATCACAATCAACAGACCCCACTTTGTAGGCACAGTTCTCAGTTGATATAAAAGGGGATCTTTTCTTTTTTACGAACTAAAGCGTTATGAATGGTGTTAGTTGTTTTGTAGTATTCTCTGATTCTGTATTGTCTTTAAACTGTTTGGAGTTCTGTTGCACTATGATGGTGTATGATGGTGTGTATCTATACATGTTGTTTAGTAGTGAATTGTTTCTTCTCGTTACATTTTAAATAATATTCATAGGAATTGTAAGATGTCAGTTATAATAGGTTTATGAACTTTTTGTCTACCTCCTTCAAATGTAATAATCTTGGTTACTCTTCTAAATAGATTTAAGGCTAGAGAGATTTTCGCACTGAATAGATGTGTTGAGTTGTAGTCAATTTAATAATTAGAGCGAGTCAGTTTTCGGTTTATGCATAGATCTTGAGTTCCATTTCGATTTATTTTGATAAAGCAATAGAAAATTAATAACTCCACAGGTTCATTTTGATTATCTTAAGTGAATTCGATGTCGTCTGAGAGCATGTTGAACACCTTAGACATAGTTCCTAGCAAAGTCCTTTTCATAACGACAAAAAATATCCTCCATATATCTAGGCCACTGACTTGGTCAGATCTTGTGGTGGTGTTTTGTTCTCTGAGTTGGATGTTTTGGTTGTGGAACTTTCATTTTGTTCTTCTGAACAACATCATCAGCACAAACTTCAGATCTGTTTATGATGAATTGAATGATTGTTTTGCTTCGTTGTACTATTTAAGAATGGTTTAATTTAACTGAAGAAGTGACTTACACTAAGTAACAAAACATCAGAAGTAATTCTTAACTTTTCTAACCAACACAGTACTACAAATATATTATGTTTATTCTAACATTTACATTATCGAAATTGTTCAAAATCTAATGACGAATTATTCAAATCAAAACTAATCATCTATCTGATCATTTCTTCTAATGTAGTTTTGCAAAGATTGTTGAATTTTCATAGAGCAATTTCACCGAGCAATCGTTTTAGTTACACAATCATTAAAATCCAACATGTCTTGGTCAGCTTTTTCGTCATAATATGAAACTTCTTATCATTGCTCATATATCATCCCACCAGCTATAGAATTCCGGACTTTCACTCTCTAGCATAACAAACATGTAAACGCATGTATTGAATTTGTGAATTAACGCATGTTTACAACTTACCATTATGAAATCGATAATCCTCTTCTGGACATGGTTTTGTAAATATTAATCTATTCATTAAATTATTATTTGTTTGTTTATCTAAAATGTTTGCACACAAAAAAAACCAAAAATACAAAATAATTATCACACGCAATATTTTGAAATATATATACATATGCATATATATATATATATATATATATATATATATATATATATATATATATATATATACAGTAGTTTAGAGAGACATTGAACAGGAACGCTACATTTGAATTTGATCAAAATTCAATCTTCGAAACTTACAACTATAACTTTCCTCTTTAATCTATGAACATTCCACAATCTTTACAAAACTACTGTAGAAGAAATGATCAAATAGATAATAAGTTTTGATTTGGATAATACGTCATTAGATTTAAAATGATTTCGATAATGTAAATGTTAGAATAAAAATTAATATATTTGTAGTACCGCGTTGACTAGAAAAGTTAAGAATTATTATGTTTGACGTTTTGTTACTTAGTGTAAGTCACTTCTTCAGTTAAATTAACCCATGCTTGAATCGTACAACGAGGCAAAACAATCAGTTGATCAGTCACAAACAGATCTGATCAAGTCAATGGCCCAGATATATGGAGGATATTTTGTGTCGTTATGAAAAGGACTTTCCTAGAAACTATGTCTAAGCTATTCAATGTCAACTGCTAAACAGTAGAAATGTATTCAGAAATAGATAAAACTGGTTTTTATGTTATACATAATGAAATAAAAGAATCTATTTTGAATATTCTTCTATCGAGTCAATGACGTTTATGTATACAAATAATTTTAAAATCGATCACTTGTATGTAAATGAACGGATTCCAAAGTGAAATGTTATCGACTTAAATGTAAAAAAAAAGACTCCTTTGAGACATATTCATTTTTTGAAAGTTTTTTTAAATTAAGTGGTATCAAATTTTTTTTAGGATTATCAGCCATAATACTGATGAAGATTTTCATCTGAGAGATAAATATTTTTGGAGGTAGCGTTATGTTGTCTGCCTTAGCTGAATGCTTTAATCATTGTACTATTCTTTTTCATACCATGAACAAAACACTGCAAATAAATAACTTGAACTCGAAATAATAAAATGAGAGGTGAGAATATGATTTTTTTAACGTAAACACAATATTAACAAAAAAAGGCCACATTGTATCATTTAAAATAGAAATAATAATAATTCAATGAAGGGAAATTTTCCCTTTGGTAATGTCATTTATCTAGGCTGCTATAATTTGTGAAAATTAATTCTAACTACACTTGTGAATGACATTATCGGAAAAACAGTTTTCTCTCTTCAAATGTCTCTGATTATTCTACAGAAACAGAAGCTAATTTCCTGTTTCGTTTATATATACCGCGACTCTTCAACTGTTTACCGCGTATGTTTTAAATTCATCTTATGATTTGCAGTTTAGGATTAATGGATACTTAATTCATTTCTAAAAGATATGGAATATTAAAGCTGTTGTCAGTGAAGGTTTCTTAAGGCATTCAAGTATCATAAATTCATATCGTAATGGATTCATGCTTATTAATTTCAGTCAGTGAACAATGTGATACTCATAACAATATTAATTTCACTAGTGTGTACAGTTGATTTCACTGACCACAGCCTCTGACATATATATGGCTAAACATATATACAGATATATACATATGGTCATCCGTTTGTCTATAGTGGGTTTCTCAACACTGTATCACTATTTGATTAAGCTACTATGTAAATGTGGTTTTCAAAATGATTCGTTCATTAGTTTGGTTTGAAAATTTTACATGATTGTTCAACTGTTGCTAACCGATTACCGAAATAATCTTCAAATTAAATAATCTCCTATTTATTAAGACTACAAAAGACTTAATTACGCTCTTGAAAGTACTTATGAAAAATTTAACATTGAGAATGTCCTCACTTTGTTTGTCTCTAATTATAATCGAATTTACAAGGACATTCATGGGCTGACTATAAATTTTTCCATCTAATCAATAACCTCGTTATAATATGATTGAACTTATAAAGGCAATAATTTTAAAGTCGTTCAAATAATCTTTCTCTTTCACATTCAAATCCACCCAGTATGGTAAAAATTTGTACATGTTGTTCATAGTTTAATGTTTCTGTTTCTTAGTTTCAATTGTTCAATCCACTATTGAATTTTCCGTATCACCTAATATTTTCGTAATTTTCAACACAATGGATAGTTCTCACTATCTCAGAATGATCAGAATTCATGAATCTGTACCGCTGAACAAGGATTCAGTTGTAGTTTAATATATCTCAGTCTTTTACCAGCATGCATTCTTTAATAAGTTGAAAATATGACATTACATCATGTGGGCTAGTCGATTGTATACAAAAACCCCAACGTTTTAGAGAGTTAAACTACTATCTTGATTCCTAGTAGTATATAAGTATAATAAATTACTTTATTCAGCAATCAGTTACCTCTTCATAATCATCTCCAAACGATTTTGAATAATACCGCTTCAGCGAGATATTATTTCATCATACATTGAATTAAATACGAGAATTCTTGTACAGTAACAGATAAGTATGCAGATATAATATTCACCGAAGTTGGTGTGAGTACATTTTATGGTAATCAGCTTAGCACCATGTGATAAGTCTTTTTTACGATTACGTAGGTACATACAGTTAAAATGAATCACAATATAATTAAAAATAATCTGCACTTAAAGTACCTAACTCGGTAATCTATCATTATTTCTAATCAATAAATCATTGTGAAACTATCAATCTTTAAATATCTCCACAGAATTGAATTGACACAAAACATTTATTTTAATTTATATCATGCAATATTTTACAAAAAAAAGATAAAACAATCAATCAACCAAACACACTACTTACAACTATCAATTGTTTGATAAATTAATATAGAAAAAATTGTACAATATAACAATATGGATGTTCGTAATATGGTGCTAATTAAATTCCGTTTTAATTCAAACATTATCAAATTCTACTTGTTTATATGTTGTGTTTTCTAATCTCACCAGCTGTAAATAAATATTCGTTGTGTATAAACTTCTAGCAAAATATTGAATATTGAAAATGAATTCACTTGTATTGTTTCTGTTAAAAATTTAATTGATAGTTTTGATTTAAGAATAGTAAATGAAAAGCCGGTTTTCAGTGCTTCTAGTTTATTGTAATAATATATATATATATATATATATATATATATATATATATATATATATATTTACAGTGATTGGGTAAATGTATTTAAACCAATTATATATATACATGACACAACAGTTGACAGAATAAACTACAATTTTTAGGTAAAAATGATCTGTGCATAAACGTATGGCGATGTAGATGTATATACTTAGACACAAATATATACATACTTGTGCCAAAATAAATAATGTTTCACCTAGAACACTGAACTTCATTTATTCAAACAATTTTATGTTGTAATTGTTTGCTGATTACGCTATTCTTGTTTTTCTAAGATTTAAATTATGGAAAATCTAGTATAAACGCTGTCATAAACATGATAAATTTTTTTTTTATGGAAATCAAATAAAACAGGATGTGTAAAATTAACTAGATAACTATCAGTAGTATGTTTAAGCTAACTATTTATAATTATTTGTAGCAACAGAAATTGTACAACAGAAATTAAATTTTCAGTAAACTTATTTTACTTTGTTTGGTCGTTAATGAACCTTTCAATAGTGACTTTATTTTTCCTTATAGAGTCATAGAGTTCATCGGCTTCTCATTGAGATCATGAATCGACCATTGCTAAACCACCATTAGAAACCTGGAAGCACTGAAAGACGGCCGTTTCGTCCTGGTATGGGACTACTCTTCAGCAGTGCGCATCCACGACTCCTGCACCTCGCACAATTCGAACCCGGTACCTTCGGGATTGTGCGCGAACGCCTAACCATTGGACCACTGCGCCGGTATCTAACGGTGTCAATATCTAACTCTAATTGATCAATGGAATTTTCGCGACCTCACCCATTTGTCTTTAGTAGTTACTGCCCCGCAACTGACAGGGTTGAACTCCACTGGTCACGTCTTCTCACTAGAACTCCGAGAATTTCCTCACGAAGCTAGTCACTAGTGAGCACATTTTACGATATTTTCAATTAGAGTTATGGAAATAAGTGTTTTTACACATTTGAAATCATTAATCAATCAATGTTAGACCACCACTAGAAACTTGAGAGCACTGGACGGCCGTTTTGTCTTGGTATGGGACTCATCAGCACCAAGCGCCCACTACTCCTGCACCTCGCAGGATTAGAACCCAGGACCCCCGGTCTCGCGCACAACCAATAAGTCCCGTACCAGGACGAAATGGCCGTCTTGTGTTTCCAGGTTTTGATTGGTGGTCTAACATTGACTGATTTCTAACCTCATCTAAAGTAGCTATATCGTTTACTAGCAAATTTACTGAAAGTAGCAAACATTATCTAAATGTATATTGAATTGTACACACTATGTAAATCAGTAAAATCATTTTATAGAAAATGATCAAAAAAGAAAGCATTAAGATAATCTAAGGATAAATGCACCTGTTACTTCATGTAATTTCGTTTTAAAACAAAACTAAAACATTTCAATCTTGAAAATAATAATGTATAAAAATGTTTATAAAAGAAAATCAGTTTTTTAATATTTAGAAATTCGAAACAATGTTCACATTTATTATCATTGTAAGTGATTAACATAATAATCAAAAACGGTAACTGCGTTCTATTCAAGACAAACTGATATTTTTATTGAGATTTGAATACAATATCATAGTTTCAAACATCAGTACATTATCTATTCAGCTACTAAGTTTAGTGTTACGCTCGTCTCTAGTTATGCTTAAAACTATTACGAGTTCACCTTAGTCGAATAACGAGAACAAAACAATGAACTAGCGTCCAGGTAGGCTACTGTGGTCCCTTGACCGAACTGAATCAGTAAGAATTCTTTACATAGTGTAGAAATTGTATTCTACAAACATCCAGCCAGCACACAATGAATCCAACGACACAAATTGCGTTTCTTTATACACCATAAAGACGTTCTTGGAACAGTCACAAAAATAGCACACCAAAATGACGCAGTAACCAATCACAGCCAAGGATTTTCCTGGTGGAAAATGTGATCTCAAGGTCAACTGATCGGTCCATGAAATAAATCCAAAATAAAGATATTTATCAAGCGAGTTCTGGGGATCTAACATCCCCAACATTTTGGTAGTCAGCGATTTATTGAAGTAATATTCAGTTAGGGAGAGTAGGAAGGGGCTAAGTTCATCTCATTGTTGACTGAATTTTATCAGTCTGCATTGATACATTGACCTAACAAGGTTTTGATTAAAATTGAAAATAAAGATGTGCTTTGAACATTACAGCTAGTTATTTTCCATGAATATAATGAATGTTTATTACATAACACATAGTTTCGTTTCTTGTTTTGAAGAGTTCACAAATCAATAATAATACAGAATAATATGTTATCATTTTATTACTCCAGGCTGTCTCAAGCTGATTACAGTTCATAATATTTTAAAATCAATATTATCATAGACATTGATATATTCATATGCATGAAGATGATTCCAGATGGATATGTGTATCATAATGTTGTGAAGTTTTCAGTAAAGCTAATAAATTAACAACCAACTAAAGTTTATTAACTCTTTGATTTCGAAGCAGCTCATCAGAGCATTGTGAAATAAAATAAACCCTGAAAAATAGTTACGATTCATTGAAATAAATCAAATATACATACTTAAGTTATTGTTTAAGTAATTACCTGTATACTAATAGACTGATTGAGTTAAATCGAGTTTTAATACACTTTTCCAGTAGTTGTTACTTTATGTTACTTCCTATCGGTTGACGAAGTAATTCATAGCATATATTTATCATTCTGTTCACATACTAACTATATTATCCCCTAGTGTTTATCGAAAAAACCCTAATTAATATACCCTATTGAGGAGTTTCATACTCCTAACATAGAACTCTTTGACATTACGTATCCATAAATCCTAACTTAGTTGAGATAAGGACGTTCATTTTTCGTGGAGAGCACTTAATCTCTAGACTGCTCAGCCAGCATTCAGTAGTATACGTAGTTAACATCAATTAAGACACCCCATCTTCCAATTGCATCAGTGAATTAATGATTTACACCCAACGTAGTCAATCTCATTCGATCACAGTTTATTATTACTACAACTTCAAGATTTTAACACTCAAAATAAATCACTAGTGAGTAAACTTTTACAATGAGTTTACAGGTTTGTGGCGACCATTAAATTTTTAATAAATTTGCATTGAAATCATGAATGAATCATTGTTAGACTACCATTAGAAACATACAAGCACTGTACGACCGTTTCGTCCTGGTATGAGACTCATCAACAGTGTGCATACTACGAATCCTGCTACTCATAGGAGTCCAACTCAAGACCACGTCTTGCGCGTGAACGCTGATGAATCACATACCAGGACGAAATGGCCATCCAGTGCTTCCAGGTTTCTAACAGAGTGGTCTAACAATGACTCATTCATAATTTCAATATAAAACAACGGTCTTTTTTTATGTTACTGATATACACATTCAAACAACTATGAAACATAAGTGACAGACAGATAGATCACTATATCAATTTGAATTTTTTGCAATAAATTACTTGTTATTTCTATTTGTTCTACTATTTACAGATTGAAATTAACTGAATAACAATTTTTTGTATACTTAACTGTTTACACTTAACTAGTTAAAATTAACGTTATTAGTTATTTATTGTAAATAGTCATGGTAATTTGTCATGTTGACAGCATGTAAATACGTAAACAATACGCTTAATTTTGCCAAGAAATTTAATCAGATTAATAATTAGATATCTGTTTCTACTGATTGAATTGTGTATCTAGAACTCTGTTCTTTAAGGAAAAAAATAGTAAGTATATTCATCATAAAGCTTCAGATTTCACTAACATTCAAGTTCATATCTTAAATATATAAAAATTCTGATTAATTCATCATGAAGTGAATTCAAGAAACTTTGGTTAATGTCTGTTGAATGAGCTGTTGGTCTAAACTATAATTATATTTGAATATACACGTACATGTATGTGTCTTGTTGACAAATTTGATATTATTTGGAAAATCTGTTTTCTTAAATTGATTGCATAAGATATTTGGTGTGGAGTTTTAAATATCTAATATTTGACATTCATTATTAAAATTTCAACAACAGTAATACTGATGAACATCTAACTACTATTCTCACTACGTGTATTGACCTTTATTGACCTACATAACTTCTATTGTCTGCAATCTGTCCAATCAGATCACGTGATAAATAATCCAATATATTCTGTTATATAACTCATAAACTCACATGTCAGTGTACAATGATTACGAGATCGCGAAGCATCATGAATAAAACGAATCACAATCTGTACGTAACTAACTATTTGAAAAACTTCAGTGGAAGGTGCATCAATAATTAACAGTACTTTACAAAACAACCAACAACAAATACCAAAGTGAGAATTTTCTACCGTATGGGGCGAAAACTTGGAGAACTACGAAAGCCGTCATCCATAAGATACAAGTATTTATTAACAGTTCGGATTCGTTGACCAGACACCATCAGCAACAACCTACTGTGGGAGAGGACAAACCAGATTTCAGTGGAGGAGGAAATTAGAAAGAAGCGCTAAAAGTGGATAGGATACACTACGAAACGCACCCAACTGCGTCACAAGACAAGTCTTTTCTTGGAGCATTCAAGGTAAAAGGAAAAGATGAAGACTAAGAAACACATTATGCCGAGAAATGGAGACACACATGAGAAGAATGAACAAAAATCGGACAGAACTGGAAAGGGGAGCCCAGGACATAGTAGGTTGGAGAATACTGGTCGGTGGCCGATGCTCTATTTGGGAGTAACAGGCATAAGTACGTAAGTAAGTG